AACCTTTTGATCTATTTCACACCATTAATAAATTTTGAATTACTGCTAAATCATAAGGGCGTCAAAATATTCCACCTGCAACAGCCTCCTACACAGCCAGGTCTAAACACATATTACTAACAGAATTACAGATCATACAAATATAGGCAATAGGAATTTTATTTTTAAAGTGAAAGTAGATTATTTTAAAATGTAAATTTGAGTGCATGTGGGTTTAATTTCACTTAACCCCATGCATTAACCTGCTCTGCAGCCAGTGACAGATATGTTATGAAGAAAGCCCTGGTTATGTTGCATCAAAGCTTACAAACTTTGTAAACTCCAAGACTGTTCCAAAATAGCTGCTGAACTCCTTGTGGAAGCTACCTCCCCACACTTCTTAGAGGCAGCGAACTTTAATGAGCTATTAGACTAATACACAATTGATTCTTTTAGGGTTTAAATAGCCAGTAAACATCACCAAAGAGACTTACAAGTTAGCAGTTAGTCAAATGAATTCAACACATCTGTAGCTTGTGCCTGCAAGAAGTATAGCTATTTTTCCAGCTTCACATCTTCTCCCATGTTAAATATATTGCCGAATTTACTTCAGTTTGTTTTTTGTTCTGATATACTAACATACTGCTTGGTATGGAGATATTTCAGAGGTCCCAACTTTTTATTTTCAGGCCTCTGGTTGAGTTAATTTCACAGTAAGTAATTGATATACACAGGACATTTACAAAAGAGTTTTGAAACCTGGCAGCTAAAACTATGATGATGGAATAAAAATAGCAGTTCCCTTTAAAAGAAAAACTGGATACCAGTGAGGATTAAAATGAGTTGCATCAACTCACAATTATTTTGCAGAGCTTTGTGGAAGTGTACTTCCTCCTTTCTGGTAGCTAGAATTAAAAGAAATAAAAAATAAATCTAAGCATGCACATTTTCTCTAATTGCAAATGTTTCATACTCCATATTGTTTCTTGAAGACGTGACTTTGTACTTTATTTTAGCAATTATTTTTTTAGATAACCGTGTTCAAGACTACTTAAGCCTTGCCCCGCAACCTGAGCACTTTAAAGCTGTAGTCAGGCAAAGTGTCAAATACTTATCCATGTCCCTGTTTGCATCCTGGGGCTACTGTAACTTTTTCCAACTGCTGAAGGTAACAAAAAACTGAACACAAACAGGGGCTGCTTCTGCCCAGATTCTCTTTACTTCAACAGTATTGTTATACCAGAGACAGAGAAAGAATGAACAGCAGTAAGAATGTTTCTGCCCAAATAGCCATCTCTGCATTGCAGTCACTTTCTAAAATTGTAACTTCTACAGTAGAAACTTAGCACGTGGCTACGGTGTGTCCATGGGCAGCCAGAGAGACTGACAATTTAGGGAAACCTTAATCAAATAGTTGTTTCCAGTAAAGTAATACTCCATTGTTTTATATTTAGCAAATTAGTAAAAACTCAGTACTGTTGAAAGTTTCATGTTCTCAAATTGGCAAAACCATTATATGAAAAAGTCAAAAGTCGGTAAGGCTTTTTTGGAAAGGAGGGGTGGAAGAAGAGAGTACTTTGTTCTGGTAACCACTGCTAGCGGGGGCAGTCAAGTACAAAGAAGTGTGCAACATAATCCCAAATGTAAAACACAATTTAGCACAATGTAGTTACATGAGATTGTAACAATAACAGACATAATAGCAGTTGTTTAGAAACAAGAAACTGAGAAATGGCATTTATTAAAATGAATGAGACTCAATCTCAGACTAAACAGCAAAAACTGATGAAATTCCATCAAGTGCTGAGGTGCAAAACACGAAACAAAATGAAGAGCCTCACCTAGAGCAACTGCGAGGGCAGGTTACCACCAGTACCGTGCACTAGAGGGCAGCCTAGACCTTCCACCGGCTGGCTGGGCTAGAACCACCGCAGCTGCAGTCCCACTCTCAATACAAGCAGTTAACAGAACTCTCCACAGTTTTAAATAACTCGTAACCACCACGCCTGAAAACATTTGCAAGAGCAGGAGTGCAACTCTTATTAAAATGACACTTCTAACTACACCAACTATTTCTAATACCTTTTTTTTTTTTACAAGTCCTATCTGCATACACAACTATCTTGCACAGGTTCTGTAGTTTTCCCTCCAACAAAGACTCAAAATACTTTTCAAAGTACACTGTTAATTACTGTTCATCATGAGGGGAAAGTTAGGCACAGAGTAGGGATGAAACACATCAAATCCTGGCTCAAAATTAGACATGTCCTACATCTAACTAAATACTTACTACATAAACTTTGTTAATGAACTAGAATAAACAATTTACTGATGTTTGTTGTAAGTGCATAAGAAAATAAATCAGCAGTTTCAGGCCAACTGATGAGTAAAGCCAAATAGCAAAGAAAGCTCATATACAGACAGGCAAATAGAACTATTTTCATAGATTTATTTGAAAAATACTTACAAAAGCAAGTATGTTTGACACTAAAATAGTTAAAACTTATTCTTGTTTACATTGGTGTAATTAATCGAGCAGCATTAACAGTCTTCTCTGTTTGAAGCATTGTTAGTTTGCCTTAAGGAAGTGGGGAAAATTCTGGTTTACTGATGAACAATGTCTCCCTGCCACTTCCTCAGCAGCAACTACAGCTGTGATCTCTGCCCAAGATCTCAGCACACTGAAAACTGGGTTTGCTTTACTGACTGCCAGCCTGCCAAGTGCAGATTTACTAGAACCTGGAAGGCAGGTCACGTTTTTTTTCCCCTAGGAAGAAACAGGAGAGCAGAAGGAGAGGAAAACAAAAGGATTTTTTTTTTATGTGAAGAATCTACCAAAGCTACATTTCATGAAAAAGAGTCCTTAAAAATGTCCTTTTGTTAGTGGCCATCTTCCTTAAAACATATGCATACTTCTGAACTTACCCGTAAACCAATGGCCCTGAAGTTTACCACTCCTATAGCACTTTTTTGCTAGGAGAGGCCAGGACTACAATAGCTAAGATCCCCCATCCAGATGGCAGTTCAGTAGTGTCAGAAATGAAATACAGTGCAATTAGTTTCCACATACTGTATAGCTACATTTTAAGACAAAACTGGCACAGATACTGATTGAAAGAGTTTGCTTGTCTCCATGTAATCCATGCTCTGGCAACAGCTACAGTCTGTTCACAGGGCGGTTTATTAGGGCACATGGAGTGGATGGGATCTCACCAGCCATTATTCTGCATGGTGCCAGTAGCTGCTGCTGCTCGAGCCAGCATATTTCTGCATGCCTCTGAAGCAGAAGAAAAAGTCCCATCCATCACATGCACTGGCAGCATTCGCCGTCTGCCAGGCTGAGGGGTGTAGCTGTTCTGTCGCCAGTCTTCTTCTGGAGGCATATCAACTCTCCTTGGACCCGGGGCCTTAACGCAAGAAGGGGGCACAGGACAACCTTGAGAGGCACCGGGATCCCAAGAAGGCTCATGTGGTATTCTTAAAGTGCTGTAGTCCGTGCTGGCTGGCAGCCTGGAACTGATGGCATAAGAATCATGCATTTGATGTTGTGAAGGCTGCTGGAGGAAGCCTTCCTGCAAACTGTTGCCTGGCTGGCCAGCATGTTTCCCCCACAGCGTCATTCGTTTATCTGGTAACGTGGCTGTTTGCCTGGCAGGGTAGCTTGTGTTCTGCCAATGGCCAGAGACACTTGATGCTCCACCTCCTAAACGCGGATTAACATGAGGCTTTTGCCTCTGGGAGAGGGTGCCTTTGGGTGCACAAGGGAGACTTCCATAGCTCAGTGCCACACCTGGGTAGTCTTCACCTTGCAAAGCTTCACCCCTGTCAGGCACAACCAAAAGTTTCTGGATGAAGTCGTTCTGATCTCCTAGGGGGATGGAGGGGAGGAGAAAAAAAAATAAGACTTTCTTAGTTATATTTTTTGTTTCATCCTCTCAGATCTTTCAGCTGTGGCCAACAGGTAACAGAAGAAAAATGAAGTCACTAGTACATCCAGTTACTGGTTGACATGCAATTCTGAATAAAAGCTAGCTGTACTCTTTCTAATATTTACTTTCTTCACTGCATTTCCTCCTTATCCTACCATGGCTGCTGCCACAGATTTCAGATTTCTTTAACAGCCCTTGAGTCATCAAGGAGGAGCCCAACAAATTATTACAAGGCTGGTTTTGATGGCTGTCACAGGGAAAATAATTCTCATGCAGGAAAATTAGTTATTTCTATTGGCACAATTACATGTGTGAATTGCTGGAATGAGTACTCTCATATATGTCAACAAGGTGGTGGGGTCTTACTGCTACTTTTACACTAAAGAAAACAGCTCACAAAAATGTGAATGTGATTTTATATAAAGTCACCATAATGTTTCCATAAAGATTATTCCCTTTTGTTATGTCCACTCAGCACAGAATCACAGAACAACTCAAAAGGGCAGAAAAGAAGAAAAAGAACATGATTCATCCTTCCAGATTTCTGGAGGAATTCACGCAGATGGTGAAACATCATTATGAAAGACAAGATCTGAAAAGCTGTATTTCAGCAATATTTCTGATCACAAAGAAGGATGAAAAGTCCTGTGATTACCTGACAGTTTACGTGCCTTGCCCACCATGCTGGGCATCAGTACATCATGGGGTATGTGCTGCACCTGGTTTGGGTTGTGCTGGGGATCAAAGGGAAACACAGGAGGATCATGGGGGAAAGGAAGGGAAGTGGAGCTGGAAGAACGGTGTCTGGTGTCCACTGGCATTTTCCTCGTATTTGGTGCTTCCTTTTATAAAATGAGAAGGGAGAAGAAAAGAACATAAAATGATGAGTAAACACAGAGTTGGGTTGAATCAAGCAAAGATGGTGTTGATCCAAGGAAAGTGATGAGTCACCAGAACGAAAACATGCATCTGTATGTGAAAAAGAAATACAAATAAAAACTGCATCAATCCAGTAAGGCTCTTACTGCAGTGATGGGCTACTCAGGAAGATCATTTGACTGGAAATATAGCAAGGAGAAAAAGCCAAAATAACCACAAACCACTCACGGAGGTTTGGTTCACAAACTGAATCCACAGAACAATGGCAGGCCAGTCAGCATTGGAACTGTCATACTACACAAGCCATGAAATAAAGAAGGGTACGGCTGATCCTCCCTTCCTATCTTCTAGCAGGCTTTACCAAAAGCTCTGATTCCAGACTACGAATAGATTCACCTGTTGCAGCTGAAGTATTTACCAGTGCTGTGCCATATCCCTCTATTAGGAGGTACTTAGCCCAAAGCAGGGATGGCCGAATGGCACAATAACAAACCATCACAGACTCGAGCCCAGTAACTAACTTGAAGAGTGGTGACAGGCAGCCATCCTATTGGCTACTTCTGTTGTGGAGGTAAAAATAAGCAGAGAGGGGAATCTTGGACAGCTAGAGGTTTTCAATTGCTCCTGCCAGTACCTCCAGGTATACGTTAAAGCCCTCAACTAAAGCACGATGAGGAGCAAACATTCAGAAGTTGACATATTCTTAGCTTATGGTACATAGCAGAAAGAGAGACTCAGAGCAACCAGTCTAAATACTGATTTTGAAACTGAGACTCTTCTGCACTTATCACACAGTTGGTTTCAAATCAAAACTTAAGCACAGTTCACAGAAAAGTCAATCCAAGCCAAACATTCCCATTATATCTGGCTATGTTGCTAAACACCAACAATAACCTGTTACTGTTTTCCTCACTGGCAGTTTTAACTTGCACCTAAAACTATTTAATGGAGACAACCAAGGGAGGGAATCAATCTCCCTAATTTTAGTTACTTCCTGTATGTAACTGGCTGCATGTTATATACCAAGTCTTGAATTTTCTCCCCTTTACGCTTACTTTTACTTTCTAAAAATGCTACTTAAGGTACTCAAAACAGAGCAAAGACTTTGACATGGTTAGTGGCGTCTTTTTAAAATTGTAGGTGCATTAGAAGCTTTTTTGAAAAAACCCTTAAGTCAACTGAAAAAAAATATTTATACTGGATGTCTTTGTATACTGGCAAGAATGTTAGCTCACAGGCTTACACCAGCTGCAGCAGGTACTACTCTGCAATGACTCCAGAAGATGATAGCTTTGTTACTTAAATAAAAGCTCATTCTTCTTCCAAAAAGAACAAAAATTCACAAAGACAAGCTTTCATCACGGCTTATTATTCAGCTGTCTGCTGTCTTGTTTGTTAACTACTAAACACAGAGAAAACAGCAACCCTACACATAGACGATGGCTCTTTGGAAAGCTGCACATCTTTCTACTTACAAAACTGTGAGAAGAGACCAAGGTCTCTTCTCTGTTTGAGACGACTGTCCCACTGAGACTGCGAGCAATACGACGGAAATTCTCTGCACTGTACATTTCCTCCTCTTCTGGTTCCCTACTATGTTCTCTGGTATACGTGACCTGCAGACAATATCACAGATTTTAGAAAAGGTTCTCCATAATATCAATTTTCTATAATAATTATAAGGAAGAGATCAATATAAATCTAACAGACTATATATACTTCAATGAAAATCCATGACCTTTTCTTTCTTGAAATCCTTCATTCAGGTACTACCTTGAAAACTTAAAGCAAATGGGTCTGTTTGGATCTGGTGATTAAAAATATTATTCCTTATAATCTTCCTTTCTTTAGTAAATAAACACTGATTGATTTGTCTAAGTGAAACTCATTCTTTTATAAATATCTAAAGCCAAGATAAAAGAGTCTCTACTGAGATGAATCTACCTAAAGGACTGACTGCTGCTACAGGCATCACTGCCTCTGTAGAGACAATCTTGGTTGCAGCTGACAGCCATCCCATCATAAAGTACTACAGTCTTCTCAAAAAAAAAAAAAAGAAATCTAGGATTATCTGATGAGTGCTTGGAGCTTGTTAATCTTAAGTTAGCAAGGGAAATGTTTATTCCTTCTTTCTTTTCCTCTGTTCTATATAAGCAAGACCATTTATGCTCCCTTTAATGAGTATGGAAGTACTATAGGAAATGTTATTTCCCCTTGAAAATACTTGTATGTGTTCATGTACAAGCACCAATATGTAACTGCCAGGTTTTTTAAACAGTTTCTCCCCAGAAAAAAAAGAAGAAAAAGCATCTTCTACTCTGAGGTGACCAACTACAAACTGCAAATACCAGCAAATACCAAATTATCCCCTAGTTCAATATATGTAGTGACATAGTAAAAAAAAAAGTCTGTGCCCCTGCAAGTGGTAACATCAAGACGCAGTTATCACAAGTTGTGATGTTATGCAAGGCAGTTCATGTTAATGTGTTCAAAGAGGCTAGATCTTAAAGCTTTCAGGGATATGTTCCTCAAACTCAGAATTTAGATAAATCGATTGCATGCAAGCTGCATGTAGCATGACTCACTCATTTTTTAGCTAATCCTGAGCTAGACTGCACTTAAAATTCTCTCTAACATTAGTATCAATGACCCCAGTCCCTTTTTCATAATATATTCCACTTCTCCCATTGTAAATTCTTTCACTTGCCCAGGCCAAACCCTTCCCCCTCTAGCACATCTTAAGTAACAACATGTCACCTTGGAGGCAGAAGAGACAGCGGATCCACACAGACTGCGCTCGATCTCTGCTGTTGGGGTTTTCGAGAGACCCATGCCAGCTGTAGCATGCAGCTTCTTCATATTCAGGTTCGCAGAGACTGAGAAGGAAAATGCTATGGTTAAATTCAATGCTTGATTGCACATTATGGCACATTTCTGACTATCTAAGGTCTGACTCCAGCAAAGACAGACAGACTGTACACACAGAATGAGAAGTCAGCAGAGATCCTTTAAACATTAACACATAAGCTAATTCCCAACATTTCAAGGGGAGACAGTCTATCAGGATACTCATGCCTGCTTCACATGTCCTTTTGCAGGCTTCTAGGGAGCAGTTAACTATTTAAGAGTTAAGTGATTTAACTGCACACCAGCACTTGTTTGATACAGAGGTGAGACAGTTTAGGGGGCCTAAAGGGGCAGAAAATCAGCTACCAGAAGCAAGTTACCTAAAGTTACTTGGGATAAACAAGAATCATCAGCTTTCAGTTCCCCATACATTCACCTGCTTGTTCCCACCCAATGCCACAGTTTGTCAGCCATTTGTTGTGCTGGTTAAATAGCTGGAAGTGTTATTTTTAACTAGGATTCCTACAGTTACTTCACTTCAGTGCAAACCCCACCAACCAGTTATAAACCTAAAATTTCTCAGGGAATAAACAGGCAGATCAATAAGCTAATAAAAATGGTCACAGGGAATCTCTCCATAAAGGAAGAAAGATGACGTGCTGGTAACGACACATTTTCTGCACTGAGGTGGCATTTGGAAGATCAGGTTTTTGCTTTAATCTCTGTTGTAAAGCTCCAGTAATGAAACAGAGGCATTTTCACCATGATTCTGAATGCAAAGATCTGACAAAACCAGTTGATATGGGGCAGAAAGCTTAAACAGCATTTGCAAATTAATAGGTAATCCAAGGTAAAAGTGAGAAAGAGCTGTCCTAGACCTACTAAGGGGATTTTCATTCAGTTCATCACAATAGATGCACTGGTTCAAACCTTTTGTTTTTATACAGAATTTCAGATGATTCTTCCTAGGTTCTGCAAAGTCACAGCAAACCAGAAGTAAAGATCTCAATCACAAACTTCACTGTAGAAGGATAACTGTATCCCATATCCCTCATATATGTAGTGGTAAAACAGGCAAGAAAAGCATCAGCATAAGAAACAGGGCATTTGATGACAGAACTCTGAAGCTCCAGCTAACACTAAACTGGGCTTTAACCCATTAGATTTCCAGAACAAGCTTCCAAAAATCAGTATGCTAAGTAGGAACACATAAGACCTTGTGATTCAAGCCCATGCAAGAGAGTATCTGCAAGGTTATGGGGTCAGATCTTGCCTAACTCTGAAAGAAAACCAAAAGGACAAGTGGGAAATGGTCACCTTCAGATGTGTCACCTGGTCTGCCAGTGGACTGCAAGAAAAGAGAGTTTCATAGAAAACTCGAGCTGTTGAATAAAAACCTGTTCAAGAGTTTACTGCAGTATTCACCCTGGTCACAGCCAGGCTTGATTTGTCAGGAATGACGGAGGCTCCACCTCCAGAGGTACAGGGCAGAGGAAAACCTGTCCTATGTATGTATTGCAATATATATCACATATATCTTTGATACTCATCAAGTTTCAGGCTGCTTTATATTTAGCCAGGAAATTCGTAGCTCTAATCCTATGACATGGAGTCTAAAGAAATTTGCTTTACTTGTGCTGAGCAAAGAATCAAGGTTGCCCCATCTCAGGCAGGAAACCAGATCAGTTATTCCCCTCAGCCAGGTACAGAGTAAACTCTCAAATACAACCAGTTATAATTCACAAGTGTGGAGAACATTAACTTCAGGCATAGAAATAGTTTAATACATTCCAGAGGTGATGCAGGACTTTCAAACAGCAAATTTCAGCAGCTTGACCTAAGCAGCTAGCTCACCACTTGAAAACAGGACCAATTATTTCTGTTACTCTCAACAGATGTTGCTCTCCATTTGCCAAGAACAACAGCCACTCTGCAGACTTCCCAGGCAGTGCTATCATACTGCTTCTCTACCTGTACAGTCAGAATGTTTTCAGAGTCCATAAGCTAAATCTTTCTGCATCTGTGCACAAATTCACGCCCATTTAACTAAATTGACTCAAAAAACATACCTTCAGCTACATTGGAGTACATAGGCAGGTCAACCAAGAAAAACAGCTGCATCATTCTTACCTGATTGGTCAAATGGATACCTAGCACTGTCCTGTCTTCCCAAGAAAGGCCTAGTGGCCTGAGATGCCTGCAGACTAGTCTGATAGAGGGATTCCAGTTCTGAGAGCTCCTGTTCTGTGTCTTGATTCCACTGTGGATGCAGATGTACTGGTATCCTATTCAAGTCATCTCCAACTGCTCTCTGATCAGAAAAGGGTGGACTCCTCCCAGGTACAGGAAGCCATTCAGTATTCTTATTAGCCTTCTGAGAACTGTAATACCTAGTAACATTATCCACCCAACGGTCCACAGGCATAGAGGCAACCATGCTACTAGTAGCTCCATCATCCACCTGTTTCATTCCTCCATCATGACAGTGCCTTTCCAGGTAGGGTGCAGGGTCTGCTATAGTCTGTCCACCTCTTCTACACAGCTCTTCACTGTGAGAACAAATACTCTTAGAAGCAACATGTTGGGCACTAAAACCCTCCAAAGAAACTACCCCATCCCTAATATCCACAGTTGAGTGTAATTTTTCAGAAGACTGGGTTTTGTTCTCTTGGTTTTGATGGATTAGCTGTCTGTAACCAGAGGATGAAGAGTTGATGAAAGAATTTTGTGTTAACTTTGGAGACTTCTCATCCTGACACACTGCAGCAATCCAGCCTTTTTCATGAGTACCTTTTCTCTGGGAGATTGCATGCATTTTCTGAAACTGCTCTGCCAGGGACCGAACATGTCCCTTTGTACTAAAAGCCTCAGGTTTGCAACCTTCTGTTGTGCCATATTCATCCTGTGAGAGTAATAAAATCTCATGGCTGTTTGCTCTGGAGTACTTATTTTTTTTCTGCAAAGGATCCAAGGAGCACTGCTGGGTAGGAGATGAAGTTGCAGGGGTCCTTGCATGATAGGCCCCTAAATGATCAATGCTGGGCTGCACTGGAGAGCTTGCAAGTTTGGAACAAGGACTGTGCTGGCTGTCCTTTTCAGGAGATGCTGCTTGTGGTGGATGTGGACAGGGAAATAGTGTAGGCAAAGACCCGGAGTTTACTGTGTTAGCCTTGGATTTGTACTGAGGTGTGAGAATAGGCATTATGTTATGAACCTCTTCTAACTTGCTGCTACTGCAGCATTCCCTATAGTCTTTTGGCCCTGTGGCTGTGGTGCCAGCAAATTCCACACTATAGTGGGCATCATTCTCAGTTCTTGCAGACCTCTCTGCCAACCCTTGCCTATAGGGAAAAGAGGGAACTTGGTCATGAAAATCAGCAGAAGCAGACTGGAAGTTTGGAGAGATCCTGTTGGATGGATTGCTTTCAGAAGGGGGCAAGGAGGAAGACTCTGGATATAATGATGAGTGCAATTCATGGCAGGAAGCAGGTGGGTGGAAGAAAGAACTGGACCCAAATTCCACTTCTTTGTTGGGTTCCAGTGGTACCTCCTGGCTCAGCAGTACTTGGAGCGGGCCAGTCTGTTCACTAAAACACACAGAAGGGTAAATGATTAGCAGTAGTCATTGCTTATGTTTATCCCCAGTGTACAGAACCTGCACTAGGTGACGTATACCTCAACGCACTTTGCTAACTGTATTCTGATGAAGACTTCGCATTAATTCAGTAGATACATACATGTTAGTCCTTTGCTTCTAACCCTGATTTCCTACTATAACTGAATCCATTTCATATTTTTAAGAGTATTGTGCTACAGTTAGGCTCTATATAAAATATTCTTGTACAGCACCCTAGGCACTTTAACCAGCAGACTGAGCGTGTGGGTAGGAATAACTGTAAGAATAGTAAAAATAGCATTTATATAAAATAAAACAACTGTTTCCAATACTAACAGCTTAGATATTTTTTAAAATACTTTGGACACGTTCATGATCTGAACGTGGACTGACAGTATTCCCGTAAGGCCCCCTCTCTCCAGGCAACTTCATGAAGAATGATTTGAAAAACAGAAGGAAGGAACACGTTGAAATTTCTGTCATATCATCTTTGTATTCTGACCTTTGAGATATTTATCCAACACATTAAATAAAGTTCAAGCTAAATATTTAACTATTATTTTGTAATAATTTGTATTCTAAGTATACTTCTAAAAAACATTTCATATTCTTTTATGTACCAACACAAGACAGTTATATCCGTGAGTCATACATGTCCTTGGCATTTTTCTGCAATTAGTTAGCATTTTAATATACAGACAGAAAAAACAGCACCAAGTTCATGTGCCTGTGAGAAAACAACAGGCTACAAACAGTACCAACAGAGAAATTAAGGCAACTGTAACATCACTACTTTGTTTCCTTCTTGAGATGAAAGCTATCATGAAGACCTAGTTGGTATGTGTAGCAGAATGACCTTGCCTGTGAGCAATTGCAAACTTTGCACTGTCTACAATGTTATTTATATCAAAGCAAGAGTACAGAACTCTGGCTATGAATAGATTCTTTTCATTCACGGCAATGTTAACATTTGGTTGGATATAACTTTTTGCAAAAGTAATGTTCTTTTCACAGAGCAGCAGTGAGCAAGTTCAGTATTAACAAAATTAGTTTAGAAAGTTCCTTTTGTTTTCTTAGAATCTGCCAAAATGCATAATTGGGGCTCTGCATTTCTCCTGAAAAAGAGGATATAATGGACCCCTGATTGGCAAAAAGATCAGCCCTCATTATATGTAATTCAGCTACTGCAGGAAAAGAAAAGAACATTATGAACTATAGCCTAGTAGGTGTGCAAATTAACTGAGTTTTGGTATATAGCTGTATTTTTTAAAAAAAAGGAAAAGAAAAAGGATTCTCATCTGAGATTTCATCTAAGCTCCTGATAATACAACATGTAAGAAAAGGGAGAGGGAAGATAAGTAACAGTTCAAGAAACAGCCTAAAAACCGAATAGAGATGGTCTAGTGCTAGGAAGGAATGACATGGGAAGAAAGAAGGATTAAGATGCATGCTAAACAGGGCAGGAAGAAAGGATCAGTTACAGCAGAGAGTTAATTATGCTATAGTTAAAATCAGTATGGAGAAAGGATCATGGAGAAACACCGAAGAGGCTGCTAAGCCGGGCTACAGGATGCTGGAAAGCACAGAAAGAAAATGAAGAATGATACAGCATCAGGGAGAGTAGTCAAGGTGACAGGATCAGGATCTGGACCTAAGAGTTGTACCAGTGCACCACTAGAGAAGTAGACTAGAAAGAAAAGATCAGTGTACTTGACACTTTTCCAACTACAGAGCACTAAAACATGCTGGTTGCTGTTCCCAATATAAATGCAATTATAGCAAGATTTTTTAACTGTAGTACACTCTTTTACTGAACGAGTCCTGGAACTGCTCCTGATTATAAACGGTTGCACATTTCATCCTAAACAGACACCCCCTTTTTAACCAGGTTATTGTCTATTGTATTCTTTCCCTTGGCGCATAAAACACCAATGCTGCTAGGCACTGACTGCTACAATTCTCTGTCACAGATCACATTTTGAACACATACACATTGAACTATTCTGTAAAGACCGGGGG